GAAAGAAATCGAGAAAAATCTAGGCAACTTTTTCAGGACTTTAAAATTTACCATCTTCTTTGGAAAAAGTAAAATATGATACATTTTTGCCTTGTACTGCTTCCTGATTCCTGTAAGATATACATAAAAAATCTTTAAACTGGTCATGTTCTTGACAAAACCGAAGTCATGGTGGCCGTGGACTAGGACTATTTCCGCTTAATAAAGGTGTTTGAGAATTTCGAATTTTTTACTGTTTCTGAAACATACTATAGAAATTGTGTTCTTCACATTAAAGTAATTCTTCCTATACTGATCCCTCTTGCCTCATAATACCCCCGATTAGAACACCACTCTTTCCATGTTACATCTGATTTTCCGATAAACAATTCTCCGTCGAAACAACAAAAAAAAACTGTCAAGGCTTATCATCTAATATCATCATAAGGGATAGGAATGGCATGCCATCTAGCCGCGAACTTCTTTATCATCTTTTCACTGAATGACCATCAGAATAATGCAACACCACTCGTTTCGTTTTCAACCGGATTCTTCTTTTTGAGAGAGAGAGAGAGAGAGAGAGAGAGGGGGGGGGGGGGTTATCGATAAAGGTTGTGATGTAATCAGACGAGACAATGGAAGAGATTAAGCGAACAGTGAGAAGCGAAATGGAAAGCGTTTCTTCCACTTGAAAAAAGTTGCATTTCTGGATTCTTAACCCTTATAAGCACTAGCAATTGATTTTTTTAAAGGTTTCTTTAAGTGAAATCATGAATCTTTTTTCAAACAGGTTGTAGTGTCAGGACTGAATCGTTTACAGAATTGTCGCATGAAAATTCATATAGTAACGAAACTGTAATTTTTGATCAGCTTACAATTAGAATGCAGAACAAATTTAATGAACCCGAAAAATCGAGCATTTTCTGATTCAGGCTGCTCATTCAGGCAATTTGGAACATGCAATTTTTTTTTTAGGATTGATTGATTATCAGTGATTTCTAGCGCATATTTTTAGATTTTTCGTGTTTTTAAAGGGATTTTAGCTCGAAGTTTCAAAATATTCGTAAAAGATGATTCTAAATATTATCAAAATTGATCTTTATCTAGACTAAAATAAGCTGAAAATGGTTGAAATGTTGAACCAAATTTGACCGAAAAATCTATGAAAATTGGTTCTAAAATTATGAAAAATAAACTCAAGAGAGGCTCAAGATATGCCCAATATAATAAAAGGCAAATAATTTGGAGCGTACAACAATTCGGGGGTACAAAGGGTTGCGAAGCAATTTAGGGGTACAAAATCCTCAATTCGGGGGTACAAAATTCCGGAAAAAAGGCTTAGTTTGTATACCTGATTTGGGGTTTTGTACCTCCTTGTACCCCCGAATTGCGGTACTCTCCGAATTATGTGCCATAATAAAAATACAATAAAAATTAAACAATTTCGAGAATACAGAAAATTCTAAAATATATATTCTCTGATTCTATCTGTTTATGTATTTGATTGATTTTTACAACTTATTGCTTGAACATTCTCGCTCATATTGGATTGTAACTTCCGAATAATCGATTTTTTAAAAAAGTTTCATTAAAGAAAAATTCTAATTTTAATGTTTCAGGTGTTTTGTGAAGTTTATTAAATTTATTGTCCATCCAATGTATAATATCTTCAATAAGACGGGCAATTTCGTTAATTTGTTTTTCTAGTCTAATCTTGCTTTAAAAGGGGAGGGGGAAAAAAAGTAATTTTCTCGAAATATATGTAGTTCAAGGAGTTGAACATGTTGACCTAACGCTGGAGGAGCAACGATGCTTCAAGCTTAAGCTGAGCTGCGCAGTGGTAGGCAAACGAGGGAGTGTGAACACCGATCACTGTACACCATCATGTCAAAACGCATACTCTAACTCAAAAATCACTTTCCTCCGCTCCCTTAAGTCTCAATTATCTAATCAAGCTTAATCGAAAATTGACTGTTTGATTCATCAAAATTTATACTAATACTATTCTAAAAGAGTAACATTGGATCTAATTGTAGGAGTCTAAAAATGTCTCTTTTCCTCACCAATTTGAAACAGTAGATCACTGAAATAAGTTTCCTGATCTAAAAATTGTTTTTTTAATAACTTTCCCTGTTTCATTTGTTTGTACTTAATTTGGTTTCAATGATAATCTCACCAAAGAATGAAAACTACAAATAAAAAGCAATTTCTATAGTCACTGAAACATTTAAACTTGAAAACAGTACGACAAGCAACAATGTTTCATGCAAATTCAAGTGCATGATAGGATTATCAATAGAGCGAATTTACAAAAGGGAAACACAACAAAATTAGCGGAAACGAGAGGCAAAAAGAGGATGTAATCTGGTAGTCGTATGTAAATATGTACAATGTGGTGTTATCAATCGTTTTCCCTTTTTTTGTTATCATCAATCACTCGACACGTCTATCACTCTCTTCTATCAATGGCTGAATATATGTTGTACAATATGAAGGTTTACATCAGAATTACAGACCGACTTTTCCGATTTGGTGACTTTTTTCAAAGAATGGTAGAGAAGAAAAACTTGTATAAAAAATTTTGAAGGAAGGGTCGACTGTTTAATAGAATAAACTATGACGAATATGAAAACCGCAAAACAGAAAAAATATGCTAAAAGTAGAATTTTCATAGAAGATTGCAGTTTTCAGTTCAAAAAAAAGGAAAGTATTTTTTGAGATGAGATTATGCATGCATTGATTCGAGAGGGTGTACCTCATACACGCCATCGGTCGGCTTCGACCTCAGCAGTTAGCGGCGCGGCTTCGACCTCAGCAGTTAGCGGTGCTCAGCAGTTAGCGGCGCGGCATCTCTAGGTTTTCGCCCACAAGTTCAACCCCTTAAGGGACTTTCGCTGACAGGATGTGGTTCAAACTTTTTTGACTATTGGATCCGAAGGCTAACTTTCCTCTCATTGAAAAAAATTGAAACTTTCATTGAAAATGTATAATTTTCAAAAAAATTATAGCAAAATCTCAAAACGTTTCCTGAGTTACTTTTTTTACTTCAGGGACGTGCTCAAATGACAGTAACTTTTTTTAACACTAACTTTTTTTTCAGAATCTCTTTCATACTTTAATTTGTGTCATGTAAACGGATCGTGATTTGAACAATGCTTGAAACTTTCTGAACTTGGAAAAACAGCGAGTTTTGAAAACTCAACAATTCATAAAAGCCAATTCAAGAATCCAAGGAAAATCCCTGGAGAAAATGTTTACTGTTTCTTCTTTGCCATTAATTTTAGCATTCCAAATCACAGTAATCATTATATTACAATTCAAAATGCCAAAACCAATGTTATCTATGTTTTTAGGTCCTAGACAAATTTCGAAAAAAAAATTCCAAAAAAACGTTTTTTTTCCAAAAATCTCTCTGGGAAAATAAAGCAAAAACAGTGAGATGAGTGTATTTTGATGCTTGATTATGGGTCAAGTGGATTTGGCGGCGCCGCAGAAATAAATAAAATCGGGAAAAAAGAATTCAAAAAAACGATTCGATGGAGAAACAAAACATTTTTGGATCGGGGAAAATGGCTCATTTTTTGACCATTTTATAAAGCTAAACTGTAAGAAGAAGGAAAAGCCAAATAACAATATAAGAAAAGTATAGGAGAGGAAGAAGAAAAGGAAAACACACACAAGTTTTATGGGCACACCGACAGAGAGAAATCGAAAAAAAAACGATAGATGTTCGCATGGCTAATTGGCACTTTTTCCCTTTGTCACAGCCCAAAAAAAACATAGAAAACGATTGAAAGTGATGAAGATATGGGAATAGGAAACTAAAAAAGCGGGTTTTTTTCAACAACAAATTGTTTATGGATTCACAGAAGTTCCTTACAAAATAATACCGTATGCAGTCGAATTAAAAGACATATTGTTCGAGCCAAGCTTTATTAGGAAATAAGCTGAAAATTCAATATAAAATATCAAGTTTTGAGAATTTTGAAAAAAAAATCGTATTGATTCATTTGATTTCATACATTCTTTTTTTTGTTGGAAGGATGGTGAATTAATTGAGGCAGTAAAAATCAGGTGAAAGAGAGATAGCAATTGGAAAAAATAATTACAGTTCCAAAAATTCGATAAATCAGCTCATGTTCAAATAGTGGAGATCTTAAGGCATTCCAAATTCATTTGTTACATTCATTAGTTACCTATATTTTTGGATTATTATTTTTAGATTCATCGACATTGTTGATGAGGAGCTGAACCTCAATAATGAAATGGCCACCTATGTTCAAGATAACTTGTTCACTATTAATATCAATGAAATTGCAGCCGAAATCTATGAGGAGTCAAACAGAGGTAAAATCACTCAGCTCCTACAAAATTTAAAGATGAGAAAAGACTTGCTCGTGAAACTGAATGTATTATATAAGAGCAAATATGGTGAAGATCTTGCCGATGTTCTATTCAGAAATAAAGATGAATTTGAAAATTTCTTGGTATTAAAGTTATGTTGTGAATAAATGTATTGTATTGATATGGACCGGCCATTCTGTTGTTCCAAGGTACCTAAGGGGGTCCCTTCTATTACAGGGGCCCTTCTATTAGAGGGGGATCTTCTATTTCCAGACAATTTTTTGGATATCTTCGAATAAAAAGGTATGTTTAGTGGATGTATGTAGAGAACAAACCAAATTATGAAGTAGTGGTTTTGCTAATAGTTCTCCGGAAAGGAACCATGGAAAAGAAAATAACTTTGAAAACGTAATGGATAGAGCTAGAAAACGAGCGAAATATTTTTTCTTCGTAGTTTCAAACTTATTTTACTGTTACGAAACTATTGTAAGATGAAAATTATTCGAATTTTTCTCGATGGTTCCTGGTCCCTCTTCTGGCAAATTTTCCTACGCATTTTATTTCTCGATTTTATTTTTCACCAAGTAAACTATTTTCGGAAAATACTCCATTTTTGAGCCATTAACATAAAAAATTATTCAAGTTTTTAGGAGTTTATTACAGACACCAGTATAACATTAAATACTCAAATTAGACAAAGTCGCCGAAAGCACTTCCTGACTCAAATCCTTCGCCGCTAGCTTCCTGACAAACTGTTGTCGTTTCTGCTCTCTTAATGGACTGGCCTTAATCGGTGTGGATTCTCGAGACCTTTTCTCCATCATTTCAGTCTCTTCCATTTCCGTAAATGTCACTTTTCGATTCATCGTTGACTTATCAATCAGTTTAAAATGCACAGTTTGTCCGTGGAATGTGAGATTAGAGAATTTCATGATGAGACGGAGAGCTTGTTGTTTTGGAAGTTGAATAGATCCAGTACCAATTGGAACGCCTTCTGGAGTCATATCAAGAGTGATACTTCGTAGTTTGAAATCGGAGAAATGTTCACGGAAATCGTCAGTGGGTACTGATGAATGGAGGTTGGAAAATGTTATTGTAACGTCGGGAGATTCTGAAAATAAAGAAATGTACTGATATTATGTTTGTCTGAGAAAAAAAAAGGTTAGAGAGTATTTTTTGCAGTCTAAATACGGTAGCGATATCGAAGCGGAGAGCCTAAATAGCACACATTAGGTGAAGACGCAGACACTTTTTCTCTGCGTCTCAACCTTTTTTTTCTCAGACAATCATGATATCAACGTCAGTATCGATAGAAGTAAGTCGAGTTGCGAATTATAAACATTTTGAAACTGTGAACTATTTTTGTTTACTTTGGAATTAATACATTTGAAAACCATTAATTAAAAATCAGAAATTTAAAAATTACTTACCAATCCTCTGACTTCTTTTCTCTTGATTATGAGACTTCATCCTATTGTGCTTCTTCTTGAAATCATCTTGGTTGGTTTTCTTGATCCGAGAATTGAGTTGGGCGTTGAAAGGGCACATGTTAGAACAACCAAGAACGACGAAGACGAGGAAAACAGAACGATCAATGGCAAACAGACCAGAGATAGTCGAACAGACGATGTTATGGGGGGTCAGATGGACCACAGTAAGGGGAAGGGTATTAGCAATGGAAGAGAATGGGTTAGCACCTGGTGACAGACAATGTAAAGAAAACAATAAAAGATGAAAGGGAGTTTGCTACAATTGAGTTTTGACGAACTACTTATCATGGGGAGTTGAGCAATATAGGGAAGTGCTAATTGTTTTTGGGTTGGTTCAATTTTTTGTGGAAGACAATTGGGATTTTGAGGTCAATGGTACGATTCTATTTACGGAAAAAATGCTCACTTTTTTTTGAGGCCTTTCGAGGTCACAGAACCTAAAAATCGCAACTGTTTGTTGTCTGAAAAATCCGGAACTTCAATCAAAAAATAAAGTCTGAAGTCGAGAACATTTCAAAGTTTTCCCAACTTCAAAGTTCTTTTTGTGAACTGTCGCACCGAGTATTTGAAACAGAAAATGTGTCAGCTTATTTTACAATTAGGTGCTATATTACAGTTTTCACGGTATGTTACCCTATAAGCAACAAGTCAATTGATTCATTTAGTCACGCAAAATGAGTTAGCTTTCGGGCGAAGGCATACATGAAATTTTCGACATCCGAAGCTGATGTAGTGAAAATTGAATGGGTTTTTTAAGTTTAAACAGAATACCGTAAAACCTCTAATAGAACGACATGGTGGTTCTAAGGGTACATCAGGGAAAGGATCCCAGGGTACATCAAAAAGTTCTTAGGGTACATCAATTAAAAATTTTGTAGTTTTCAACTGGAAGATATTTTGGTATAAACTGCACTATTTTATTTATTTTTTTGT